TATCGTCAAAGGGACCTCAGCAAAAGCCATGAGGTCCCGGAGCAGCCGGACAGCTGTCTCTCAAAGGAACATTTGCTTTCATGCTTGATGCCCCTGTTCTGGGAGATGGTTCCTTGTAGGGTGAGTGGATGCAGGATGAAAGTTTGAGGCTAACACTGTTTTGATTAGCATCCTCTCGTGACATGAGCCAGCACTACAAAACACTAGAAATCCCCTTAGACCATACCGCTCTGTCTGATCGCGGCAGCAGAGAGACAGACGGACAGGAGGAGGGAATAGAAAACAGCAGAAGTGTCCCAACGCTGCCATCCCAGTCCTGTCACAGCTGCCGCTTGCTCCGTGGGAGGCTAAGCAAGACCTGCAGGGTATGTCTCATACTAATTTGTTTGCAAAGCAGAAAGCAAACAAGCCTGCTTCCAAAGGTGCGGGTTATCTGCCTCATTAGCGCCCAGCAGCAGTGAGTTTCGCAGCTTACGTTGCAGTCTGGTTTGTACTGTTTTGCTTAAGCATGTTCGGGAGCACAGGAGAAAAAAGACTAATACATTCACCGAACTGTGGCTGCAGGGGTTGCACATAGCAGGAGAGGAGAAAAGCAAAGTCCACGTGTACTGCTGCGCTCCTGGGATTGCTCTCAGGGTAGGGCTCATCCCGACTCCGCTTTCTGCCACTACAGCACTGGTTTTGAAGGGAGGCATGTGGGACTGTAGAGGTGAAAGAGGAGCTCAGAGGGAAAACAAGCTCCAAAAAACATGAGCCAGACTGTGCAGTCCTTCATGAGCACAAAATTCAATGGGAGTTTTGATTTAGCAATTACCACCAACTTCTGCCCAGGTTTTGCATCGCAGCCTTTTCCCTGGGTCCTGTATCTTGTGGGGTTTGCTGGCTTTGGAAAGGCAACGTATCAGCCCAGGGTTTCAGGCTGTGCAGCTCATTTTGTCTTCAATAGACTTTATACATATATAAACTAGATAATACACATTGCACGGCAAAGAAAAACTGAGGCTTGTTCAGAGTGCAAAGGAAAGTGTGCTCAGAACCTGAGACATTTTGGCTTGCGTGTGCTGCTTACGCCAGCAGCCCGTGACTCCTCCGCTAAGGTCTGCAACATGACTGTACGCTCACAGACTACATATGAAAAGGTCCTTTTCTCCCCCACCCTCTTCAGTTTTGCGCTGGTATTCAAGCATTACGAATCAGAGCAGCTTAACAAAAAAAAGGAAAAAAAAAAAAAAAAGAAAACAGACAAGGAAGTTCAATAAGAAATATTTCAGAGCAGGTATTGTTTACGTGCTGCTTCCGAGGTGAGTGCTGTAGATGGGATTCCGCATACCGCATCAAGGTAAGTTGTATCTTCATTTTGGCAGCAGCCTAGGGCCTGAGAGAGGCTGTTCCTTCTCCGCCTCCATCTGCTGATGTGATCCAGTGCAGAGCCGCAACTTCTTTCCAAAATCCCCAGGCAGGCAGCGGACCTTTCAGGCGTTTTCCAGCACAGCTTCAGTTGAAAGGTTTCACCAGTTTCATAGCAGCATAGTTCTAGAGGGATGGAAAAACGAGGGAAAGAAAAGCTGATTTGATGCAGGTACAGCAGGGCGGCATGTGGGGGTTAAAGCATTTTTTTGGGCACGGCGCAGAACTGCAGACGGGGCTGCATTCAGGGCAGGCGTGGTGGCCAGGCTCCCGGCCCCAGCCTTCAGAGACAAGCAAGCAAAAAGTTAAACCCCCTCTAGCGAGGATGGTAGAAAGCCCAAGACATGAGAAAACACGTCTTGTCTTCTTCCAGTAGAGGCTACTGGTCGCAGGCACCAAGCAGCGAGCACCAGGAGTCACTCCTGGACTTTGATTGCTCCTTCCGCCAGTTTTTAAGATCAATTTCCCCCTCTTCATACCCTTGTAAGAAATTTGGCACCTCCCCAGCAGCACCATCCCGGTGCCCATATGCCTTCTCGTAGGTGAGGAGATGCGTCCAGCTCTGCTGAGTTGCTCCAGCCTCCCCCTCTCCTCTGGATCCCGGTGCCCCTTCCCCTCCGCTCTCTCTTTGTGCTGCTCCCCGACAAACCCTGAGGCTGTATTCACTACCCAAGCCCTGACCTCACATCCTTATGGCTCCTTCTCCCCACGATTCCCCCAAAATTGGTGACCTCATCCGCTCTGCCTGGTGGGTTGGTCCCTTTGGAAACGGGCCCTGGCCCCGGTCCCCGAGCATCCGCCAAGCTGTGCCATGACATTTTCTGGAGAGCTCTGCTTTCCACGGGCCAAAGTCTGCACCCAGGATCATGCCAGCAATCAGTCGGTCTGAACAGCAAGAGGATGGTTCTCGAGCCCTGCCCCATCCTGATTTAGTTTCTTAGTACAAACCTAGCCTGCAGGTCCATGGACTGTCTCCAAAGAATCTGCCAAAGGCAATCAAGAAAGGCAAACCTATTGCTGATTTTTTTTTTCTCTGCCTTGTCTGCATCCCTTAGCGCCTCAGCCATCTGTTTCAGCATCAGCATTTGGTGTGGTTTTTGTTCCTAAGAGCAGACGCCCCAGGCGAGGCCTTCCTGTGCCCGTTTTCTGAGATCTCTACTGTCCCTGTTATTGCACGGGCTACCATGGAAAACGAGGCGTCACAGTATTTTAGCCTATTACATGTGCAATTCCTTCCTTGAAAGAAGACGACAGCGCTGTGAAAAAGAATAAGCTGTGTAAACGCTGCTTATCAAGACCACAATGAAAATACAGATGAAGATGCATGCTTAGGTCATTTGGAAAGAGCTATATTTAAAGTAGCTCTGGTTCAAACCCCCGCGACCACATACTAGCCCGTTTGGAAGTCCCTCCCAAGCAGATTGAATTTAATTGGTACAGGATGCTTTATCACTCTGTCATTTTAAAAAAACAACTTTGGAAACAAAGCATAATGCTGGTTACCAGCAAGATCTTTGGAGGAACGGGGGAAAAAAGAAAAAAAAAAAACCAAAAACACAACAGAAGTCAAGTCTGACCAAAGACATCTTGATAAATTACAACGTGTAGCAAATTATAAGGCAGTTTGCCAACTGAGGATTCTAATAATGCCATAAATCAAGCAAGCAAAGTTAGGGCAGTTTACCAGAAGTCATTAGAAAAGCCTCCAGTGACATATAACCTTCTAATTAATTATCCATCCATTTGTCTCTCAGAGTCTATCCTCCAAAATACTCCTATTTTTTATGATTTTACTGGTTGCATTCTGGAGGGTAGCAAGTTTTCTGTCCAGCTATGAATTTGTATTAACGAAGTGTTGAAAGCCAAGCAGGATTATCAATCAGCGCAGAAAGCGAGCTGTAATTAGAATTAATGGCAATGGAAGCAATGCTGGGCTTGCAGAACACAAACAGAGCTTTAAAAGGTAGTAAACATTTTCATGGTGCTGCAAAGCAGAGCTGACTCCAGCTGGAAGTAGCGTTATGTTTTTCGATGGTGGTAGCCACTAAAACCTTTACAATAATCACTGCTTCAGGGAGATAACTTCACCGAAATATTCCTTACGTGTTATGGATGCAGAAGCCCCGGCTGGATTTTTATAACCTTTTCTTCTGACCTTGTGTCTAGCCCAGGACTTTCACTCGACCATTCCCATAGCAGAAGGCAGAGCTCTTAGCTATGGCAATGTCGGATGAAAAGTCCATCAAAATCACTGGACCTTTCCAAAAACCCCCACGGCATGCCAAAAATGAGCACGGCTGGACAGGAGTACGGGGTGGAACTAGAGCATATCTTGTAGAAGGACATTCAATCTCGGGACGTGGACGACTCGAGCAACGATGAATTTACCACAACCTTTGGCAAATTGTTCCAATGGTTAATTACCCTTCGTCTCAAAAATTAGCATCCTATTTCCACTGGAATTGTTCCTTTAACTTCAACATCCAGCTACTGGATCTCATTATACTTTCGTCTGTTGTTTAAGGAGTCTTCTGATGTCAAGTTAAATCTAAGGACCGTCTGAGGAAATCATATAGGAGATATCCAGGGAATGCTGTTCCCAGAGTCCTAGCTTGTACAGACCTTAACGACAACCACTCTGCAAAGAAAGCTAAGGCAAACCAGCAAGTAATCTGACACTGAGACTGGGTGGAAGAGCCCAAGTGAAAAAATGAAGAACCTCAGAATATCAGATTTTCAACCTTTTTCCCCATTTTTGTAAAACTAGACAACTTTTTTTTTTACGGAAATATGCAATACCATGCAGTTTTCCACCCGAAACCAAAAGGCTTTTCAGTTGGAAATGGCCTCTCACCCACTAAAACGAGTTGTTCTGTAAACAGTTGCGCTAAGGATGACTGATTTCTTGTGGACTTGTGCCAAAATTTCCCGTACTGCAGTACGCCCAGCTCCCCATGGGTCCTGATTAACCTCCTCTTCATCCCAAAGCGCCTCCAGACCCTTCCCCACTTCTGCAGGTCTCCCCCTGCCCCTTCCAGGGACCCCAGATCCCACCGGGGCAGCCACGGCACATTCCCTGGCTGGCAAACAACTGCTGATTGCACAAAGCTCTCCTGGGAAGGAGACTTTGAAGAGGACCTGAGAGGAGGAATGGGAAGATCTTTATTCCAGCCCATGATCAATCACACCCACTCTGTGTCCTGGGGGCGGGGGAAGCACAAAGGCATCACATCTTCAAAGGTTTCTGATCCCCTGAAGTAGCTCTAAAGGCATATATATTTTGCAGAATATTTGCATAAAATATTTTGCAGAATATTTTGTTTCTCACCTCAATGGGGAAAACACTTCCCTGGGCTGTAAAGCATCTCTTGATGGGTATTCTGAACAAGACCAAGACATCAGCTTCTTGATTTTCACTGAAAAGCCTGAACCACTGTTTTTTGGGCACTACTGTTGGGAACCACAGACAGCCCTTCACCATTCTGGGCAGAAGCACACGGCTTTCGAATGGGACATTTGCTCTTACTCTCCAGCTATTCTGACCACAAAGCTGGGACTGTGGTTGGAAGTTTTCAGCACTATATGGGCAATAGGAATAATTCAAAAAAGTCCCATTTTTATACCGAGAGCCAATGGAAATGCCCTGGGTTCGTTTTCAGGTGAGATTCCTGTCTGTCTGGGACGGAGGGTGACCTACGCAAGGGTAGCTTAGCTCACGGGACCACTAGTTTCCCAGGGCATATTGTGGATATATATTTCTCAGGTAAAAGACATCCACCTTCGGTGTCTCAGGCAGAGTCCAAACAAGGCAAGACTTGGAGCCAGGGCTCAGACTTCTCCGGCAGCATCTGGTGCATGGGACACAACGCTCCCAGGTGGAGGGGCTGTATGCAGGCAGGGCATGCAATCTGCAGGCAGGGGCATTCAGGCTGCTGAGCCAAGGACCAGCTGCTGAAAAGCAATGACTGGAAGGACCCTGGAGGTCCCAGTGGAGGTCCCAACAAGCAGAAAGCTGTGAATGAGCTCTTCATGCAAGGCCATAGCAAAAACGGCAACAGACGCAGGAAAATAGTAACTTCGCCTCCGCATGCACCCCCTAGCATCCCTGTGTCCCTGTCCCTTACGCTCCGCCTGCTCAGACCGATGGCCCACGTGCTCTGACGGCATTCCCTTGAGGTTTCCCTTCCACCACCCACAAGCCACCCCTTTTCCCAGGATGAGACGGGCAGGACACACACAAAAATCCTCCACCTGCCTTGTGGGACCTCGAAACTGCACGTGTAGTGGCAAGATTATGTATACGGCACTAAATGCAGCACGGTCCTTATTTTAAACAGGACTTGACGGTGCTCCTGGCACGCAAATCAGAACAGAAGTGAGGAGGGATTGTTTTTCCATGCATTTAATCAAGGACGTAATGGTGAACCCTGCCAAAGGTCAGGATGCCAGGGGCATCCTTCATAGCAAACCATCGCGCGATTGCCAAATTTAGTGCCTGATGAAACGGGAAAGGAACTAAATCTCCAAGTAGGTACAGAACCAGTGACCTCAAAAATCTAGGGGAAGCTGGCCAAATACATAAAAAAAGAAAAATTCCATGAAACATGGCCTTACTTTTTCGAAATATGACTAAAAATTGACCCGACCAAAATGAAATTAAATACAACAACATTTAGCTAGGAAACAGGGAAAAATCCCAAGTAATAATGAGTGTAAATCAATATTTATAGTTCGCAAATTTTTTCTCCTCTCAACGTTGTTTTTCTACGATACCGCTGGAACGAATGCAAAGCCACTTGCATCTTCAGGGAAACACTGAGTTCTTCTTGGTCGAAAAGGCTTGGTTTCTGCTACTTGCCATAAAGGGGAGTCTCCAGGAATGGCTCCGAGTACAGGGCAGGGAGGGGGCAATGCAGCACAGATCTGCACTTGCACAATTATTTCCTCCTTCGTACTACTTAGCACCTCTGGAATCGTTTCTCCAGCAGGAGAAGTATCCCAGCCCTTTCCATGAATACAAGGATAGAGAGGTGGGGAGAGCCGTGATCTAATCCCATCCCCTTTTTTCCTCAATGGGAACAACCCAGCATGCACGACTTCAAATCATCTGAAAGTGATTACGATGGCGAGGAGAAATTCCACACCTCGCTTTGGTTGCACATTGCAAGCACACAAAGCCATCTGCAAAAGGCAGCCACGTTCTCTCACATGAAGTTATAAATTACCCCAATGAGTTCTTTTCTTAAAAAAAAAAAAAAATCATATACAAGAAGCAGAATTTGTTAAGTGCTGGAAAGACAGAGGCGGGTCATTTTTCTTATCAGTCTGGGAGGAGGTGAAATGGCATCCAAGAGCCAGCATGAATTATTCCAGTGCTGTAGAAACAGAGGAGGATACAAAAACCCATCCCAAGCCAAACTGGAAGGCCAGGGCTCCATTATTTATTTATTTATTTCATTTTGCCAGTGGAACTGACAGTAAGGCAAGAAAAATCCACTTTTTTGATTAATGAGGTGAAAACTCTCCCCCTCATTTCAGACATTACATTGGTATAAAGTGCTCCAAGCCTCGATAACGAGAGACGGGGCTGCCCGAACGCCTATAAACTCCCCTGCATCTTTAAACAATTGCAGACCGATGCGGTTTTTGCCACTGCTCAGCCCTGTAAAATGGCTGCATTGCTAACGAGGCTGCGTGTTTGTTGGGGATTTTCCCACCGGCCCTGCAACACCTCCAACATCAGCTGCTCGAACCTCTTTGAAAACAATCAATTAACCTCAGCGTCGTTAGACACGGATTGAAACACGGGCACAAAGAGGTGAGCACCTTGCGGTGAGTCTGCAGCAGAGACCAGAAACGCAGACTCTCTTTTTGACCCATCATGGTCCACCAGGTTGTTCCTCAGGGACCAGCATGGGACTTTGCAGCCACATGCACTGGGACCATCTCTGTCAGCACAGAGGTTGGTCAGCCACAGAGACCTGGGGGAACACCTAAGACCTTGGTCGGCCCCCCCTGTCCTCTCCTGCACCCATCGTACCGGGAAGGCGTAGATGAAGATCCCCAGGAAGAGCAGCAAAATGAAGAGCACGATGGCCAGGATAAGCACCCACTTGTATCGCCGCCACAGAATGTACTTCAGGGTCTTGTATGGGGAGGTGAACCACAGGAAGGAGGTCTCCGGGCGCCTGGAGCCAAACAAAGTTGAGATCACTCTTGAGTTACACGGTAGTTTCACCCTCCTGGATCCCCAACCCCGTGAGCACACCCTGCTGTAACAAGCTGGCCGCCCACCCTGCAAACCCACATCCCTCTGGGTGGACCATGTCAAATGCCCTCCTTGGTGGTCCAGACCAGCCTCCCAGCCACCCTGGATAGTCTCAGCTCATAAAGTCTGAGCTTTAGTCAGTCAGAAACAGAGCCTATGCAGGAGCAAGCCCATTGCAGATAGCAGACCTCAAACTGGGAACCCAAATTTTCAGTTTGCTCCTTGAGAACTCTGTGCCCCGGTGGTTACTTTTCCATTCAAGATGCTCTTACTTGGGGTCCTCCAGCTTGGGGTTCATATTTGGCTCATCCCGACCCACGCCAGCTGGCCGCTCTTCATGCTCTTGTTCTGCCACAATTTCCAAAGTCATTTCCAATTTGCCCTGTGTGGGTTAAACAAAAAGAAACTTATAAACAAAACAACAAAAAAAAAAAGGAGAGGTGAGAAATGAATGTATGATGTGAAATACTGATTGGGGAAAGAAAAACTACTTTGACCGTAACCCAACCACTACCAACAAGGACCATGAGGAACCCAGTAAGAGTGGATTTCATACAGATCCCTCACCTGCCCACTACAATGTTCTCAGCAGATACTCCAGGACATCTCAAATGTCACTGACACCCAAGTTTAGGCAACCGACTCAGGGGTCTTTTGTTGAATGACCTAATTCACTGCCTGGACTCCTTTACCTGCATTGTACAGTCACCAAAGACTTGAACAGGAGCCCGGACACTTACGTTTAAATACATCAGTCTGACAGCTGAAACCTTTCCCTGGTACTTGTCACAACACAATATCATTAAGAATAGATATGATACAGAGTCAAATTAGGTGGCATGTTCAAAAACCACAGCAAAAATCCCACAGAACAAATTATTTCTTCTGAGGCATTTGCATGGTGCTGGACAAATCCTGGAAAACATCCAGGTGACAAAAGCTGGTCCAGTTTGTAAAATTTGGAGCCCAAGACTGCATTTCTTGCCCTGACCATGGCATCCTGCATGTGCTTGGCCCAGCCACATCCCTCCTCAATGCTTTGAGTGAGTCCCCCAACAGAACATGTGAAGAGGCCACCTTACCGCCAGGATCTTCTTTTGATCCTGCTCAGCAACACAAGGCCACCATCCCTTGACAGTTTTCTGCTCAAAGAGTGACACAAGGCGACTTGAAGACAAGCTCTCATCTACTAGCTCTAAGGAGCACTTCTCAGCGGTCTTGGCAGGTTTGGGCATTCTGTTAAGATCCATCTGAATGGAGCCTGCAAGGAGGAACGTTACTGGGAAGACATCTCGGTGTAACAGGTCCTTAAAACGTGGACTGTTTCCCTGAAGAAATATTCACTGTGGCACCCTCGTGACCTCAGGGAGCTTGGGCAGACTCCCACACAGCAAGGGAGAGAGCAGGCTCAAGTGTAGCCCTATTTCCAAGCATAGTGCTAGTTTTAGCCAGTGGCTCTTCCTAGGAGTTGAGCTCTTGGTATCACCATTGTGCTTAGGAAGACCTGAGCCATGAAGTCCTTCTAGAAGAGGCTGCAATATATCCGGCTACAACGTTGGATGGTCTGCACTGAAGTCAACCAGGCAGGCTGAGATTTTTATTGAAGACTAAGAGATTTAGGTGAAACTCAAATTGTACACACCCACAGCCCAGTCAATGTAAGGGCATTGGGCAGGAGGCTTGCAGATCTCCAAATAGGTTATTTTATTGCCCACCCAGGACAGCAATTGCAGCAGACTAAATATGAAGGATATCCCGCAAAATCGATAGCTTCCTTTGCAGAGTGATCCAGTAATTAGCACATTTATCTAGCCTTTAGGAGATCTGAGCTCAGTTCTCCAAGCGTTAGCTGAAAGTGCCTGTATTTAATTTACATTGCTACACTAATTTACTTTACGGTTGGGAACGGCCAAGAACATACACAGGGTCTGGTCCTGTGGCTCAGCTGAGGGGCAGCAGCTTTTTACACTGCTGTGGGCGACTCACATTCACTTTCGTGCTTGTATTTGTAGCTGTTCTGTGCCACAGATTCTTGCAACCAGTGACAAGAACAGCACAGATCAGGTTTGTTGTGAAAAGTGCTTTACAAAAGCCGAAGACCACTTTTATTTGTTGGAATTTGCAAAAAAAAAAAAAGGTTGGGAGTCAAGAGCTTATGATGTGCAGAGCCAGAAATGGAAAACACACCTTGGAGAGGTTATTTCGGCACACAGCCTACATAATCAATCAAAGACAGGATTTAAAAGGATCCTGATCACATACTTCCTCAGTGAAGCTTTTGATGTTTGAAATTTTTTTGGTGGCAAAAAGAAAGGTAGAACAAGATCCAACCGTAACGCTGGTGCCTCCAGCTTCTGCACAGATCATCTGCTGCACGGCTCTGATATCGTTCCTATTAGAGGTTTTTATTTTATTTTTTTTCTTGACCTAAACCTAGATTTCTGAGAATGACTGACGAGGCTAGCACTGAAAAAGGCAAGTGTCAGATCGAGCTGTGTTCATGCCTAAACATCCCAGGTAAGGCAAGGCAGGTCAGTGATCCTGCCCGGTGGTCTCAGCTCAAATACACGGTTAGCCCTGATGAACACATTTCAGACAGAACTGGGGCTTTCCTGGAAGTTCGTGGCTCTGTTGGATTCGATGATGCTCTCAACATTATGTCAGCCCAGGAACAGGCTGCTGCAGGCTGAGACTGGAAATCTGCCTAATACAAACCACTTATCATCAGCCCTGAACTTACGCTGACACTGAATCCTGTTCCGTGGCTTAAACTGGTCTTGTTACATTTTCTTCATATCCTGAAAGGATTCAGTAACTTTTTCCTTCCTGTCTGCATC